AGCCATGCCGCAATCCTTTTTGATTTGACTATTTTTGAGATAAGATCTACATTTATGCCCAGGCAGGCTTGGAGAGCTTTCCTATCCAAATAGCTGGGATGACAGTTTTATTGGTTGAGATGTGGTCTCAAGGACTTTTTGAAAAGTCTGGCCTTGAAGCTGGCCTTCAACCTCAATCCCAAATATCTAGGATTGCAGGTTTAAACCACCACGCCCAGCTTAACCATCTCATTTTCTAACACTACAAGATGTTTTAGACCCATCCTACACTTTCACTGACCTGGCCTGGTAATCAACCAGACTTTGGTTCCTTTTATTGGGAAATGGTGCTGAAAAGTCAAACATGGTTTGCCCCCATGCTAATTGCTACTAGGATGCTAACTTCTTCTGTGTTCTCAGAGCAGGGAGATATAAGCATATATACTGATCCATGCATATATACACAAAGATTTATGTTCTATTTATGTAACTGTAGATATATGTAAAATCTTGAGCATAATAGCTCTGATTCTAATCCAGCATAACCAGCTTTGTTTTAGCCAGATACTTTTTTCTCCACCAGCAAAAACACTGTATCTCATTATCTATGACACAGATAATTGTACTTATTTGTTTGATTCTAATGAATACGGTTTCAGAATAATAACCCAGATTCCTGAAGGAACAGTTTTACTAGATTACAGTATGTATAGATATATCTTTTTTGTCTTAAGCCTTACACTATCCAATCAATACTGTTTTCCACTATTGATTAAGTTAACTTTTCTCAGACTCAATTTTTTCAGTGTTTTTATGATAATAATTTGCTACAGAAGGACTAGAGGCATGGCTCAAGCAGTAGAGACTCTGCCTAGCAAGCATGAAGCCCCAGTACAGCCAAAGAAAAACAAGACAGAACAGAAAAGAACTGAATATAGCTTGGTTCATTTGTTAGTGCGTATATTCTATTTTGGTTTCCCCCAATTCCTATTGGTGTCAGTCATTTGTTTAAATAGTTAATTTTGCCAGCATGTAAAATATTACTATAGCTGTCAGTGTTATATGAAAAGGTATAGTTAAAAAAAATAGCACTCTGTCCTCATCCCTGTTATTCCTTTCTTATTGGCCCTTTTTTCCACCTCTTCCTTATCCACCTCCTAGAGACAAGCAATCGCTTTAGTATTTAGTTTAATAATAATCTCTTTTGTATTTAGTTTATTTTTCCTGTGTTGCTTCTACACAAAAAATTGCTTTCTTATATTCCCTTCTGTGTCACACAAAGGGAATCATACTGATATTCTTTTGTACTTTGCTTTATCACTCGAGCATATTTCCTGCAATTAATAAAGGTCTTTAGTGATTTTTTTAGCAGTATATTATTCCATTGTATGAATGTACCTATGATTATTCAAGCACTCTCTAATGTATAGGCATTAAGGTTGTTTGCAATTTTTTACAATTCCAAAATTGAAATGATAACCTGGGGTATATAACCACAGTCTCAGTTGTTGACTTAACAAAAAACATTATCTAAGACATCATATAAGCACTTTGTCTAGTATAAAATATGTCTTCTCAAGCTCTGTCTTAAATAAAATAGTCATAATAACAGCATATTACAATAACAAAGTCCAGAGTTAAGTACTTGTAACCCAGAATTACACAGTAAAAAGAACCAACCAGATGCCTCCCTATCCTTTCAACTTTTCTACAAATCAGCTCGATCCTCTTAGCACAGTGACCAAGCAGTTTCCAAAATAGAAATGAGCAGTGTCCCCCATTTCCATCACTCAGGGTTCCTTAGAAGTTTAAAAAAAGTCAGTGATAGGAAATTACGTTCCTAGTAATTAAAGAAAACCACACTTGAGAATATTTCATGACTACAAAAACACTGAATTGAATGAGGAGAGCATACCAGCCACTGTGGACATAAGGGACTACACAGGAAGAAATGCCTTGTACAAAAAGAGCCATATATATAACAAATTACATGCATTGTGCTCTAGTATTTTATATTGTATCCTAAATTATTTTTAAAAAGAAACCTTTTGACTTTGTATTACTACCTTAATTTCAAAGCTTTTAATGCTTATTCAAGATCGTGTGAAAAACACTAGTTAATTAGAGCACATTCTTTGAAGTCAGACCAATGTGAGCTGGAATTTGTGATGTACCTCTTACCAATAGACTTCTGGGGACAATTCCTACTTCTGCAAGTCCACTTCCTCTATGCAAAGTGATCAGTCTATCTATGGTAGAAGATTGCTGCATCTACTAAGTAAGAATCTGCAGGTAGCACACATACAGTAGTCAATAAAGAGACAGATCTGGGTGTGGTGGTACATACCTGTAATTCCAGCACTCAAAAGCCTGTGGAAGAAGAATTGTGAATTTGAGTCTGGCCTGGCAAAACCCTGCCTCAAATAAATAAATAAGATACCTATTATTAAGTGTGATAAAATGAGATAAGGAATGGAGATGTATTAGGGAGTTCACACAGCCTATCAGCAGCCAAGTTTCAGTCTACCTCTTTGTATGGAAAATAATGAATCAGAAAATGCTTTACTTTTCCTTCTCCTTCTTGAGCTCCATATGTGGCTAGTCAGGTGTGAATGCAAGAAGTCAGGATTGGATTACTGTTATCTCCATTTGCCCAACATGTGGCCAATTCCTGCCTGGATATCTATTCTGAAATAACACAGGCAAGCCCAGAAATCCACGGAAACACTTGCATGGTAGGAAATAGTTTTGCTCAGTCAGTTCTCTACAGTTAGAGTAGCACTGATTCTCAACCATGGCTGGGCAAGAGAGTGGCATGAGAAACTTATTAAATATTCATATTCTGGCATCCACTGGAGTTGTTTTATATCAAAATCATCTGGAGCAAGGCCTTGGAATTTACATTTAAAACACATGGACAAAGATGCACCTGTGCACAAGTAGCTCTGGAATATACTCAGTCTAGGTAGCAGAGCAATGAAAAATCGAAGTCTTTTGATATTTCTCTTATTTCATTATAGAGAAGTGTCAAAAAAAAAGAAACTTGGTTTAATGTTCAATCAACATCTTGTCACTCAAATAGTGCATCATAAACAACAAGCTGGAAGATCACAGATTTTGGAAGCAGTGAGAAATGCACAGAATAAAGGAAGGTATTTGAGAACAAACTTCAATGTGTTGTGCAATTTTCCACCATTTACAGGAGCGTTTGGGGTTGTCATTAATAATGGATATAATCCAATCATTCTGTAACTAAATGTCCACATAGTCAGTTTCTATAGTCTCTTATGGAGCTTAATCCTCTTTGTCTTTATTTTGATAAATGCCAAAGTCTACATTTGCACTATCATACAATAATTAAACTGAAAATATTTACCTTTTAAGGCTTAAGAAACACTAATAACGAACAGCTTTCTATCAAACAGCATTAATTTAAATAGGACTATAATGTTTTTAAACATTTTATTAACAATGTATTAGAGTTCTGTGTCGTCTTTATCTCAGTTGTAGGGTTTGTGCATGTGAAGATGTGGGGCAATAGAGCAAATATCCAGTGCCATGTTACACTCAGTCACATCCACAGAATAGTATTGTATCACCTTATAGTATTGGGCAATATTGTATCTTGTGTCTCTAGTGGGAGGCTTGTAGTTTTTAAAAGGTAATTCCATCCAAACCCCTACCCCCCACCCCGAGGTAATTCTTTTCAGTAGGCTTTCATTGCCAACTTAGACTTTTCCTTGGTTGGGCAACACTCTAAACAAGCCCACTCTTTCAACACCTTGCAAAGAATGTCTTCAGGAAACAAAGACTTAGCTTGGCTAACTTCTCAAAGATCTGTTTCTGAACTCAAAATTTGAATTTGTCATTCAATCTTTACATGTCACTTATTTTCAAGGAGCTCTGGGAAACATTAGGCCATAATCTTCAGGAGGATTGAAACCATCTATGGTAGGTAGAGTGGTATTCAGTAATGACATAGCCTGGGTTTCTCCAACAGTGGGAATAGTAATGTTCCAATCTACATTTCTCATTTATTTTTCTCTTATGATTGATGCTTGAATTTCAGTTCTAACTAGTCCACTACAAATTAGTCATGAAACATATGCCAAAAGAACTCAACAAGCCTGCAGACAAATTCTTCAAAGTGAAGTACACCTCCACTTCCAACAACTTTATACACATCATTTATGTGTTACTTGAAAATTAATCCTTTTTCATGTATGCACTCTGGGTATGTTTTGGTCTCCCTTATTTCCCCAATAGTTTGAATTCAAGGTATCTCAACCCATGGAGTAGTTGTCCAGAGGAAGAGAGAAGTAACCGCCCCGCCCCCAACCCTTGGGAGCAGAAAGGGAAAGAATTATCCTAAAGAATTATTTTAAAACTCAGATACAGCGGGTAGAGATAAAAAGATCGTTGCATAGATTGATATCCCAGGGGTCCAAAATTTAACCCTAAATGGGCAATAATTTGCTTGGCATTAAACTAAACCAGTTTGATGAACTCAAATGCCCTCGGCTCAATAGGCAGGACTCTCCGAGGAGCCTGTGTTACTTCCCTCACTTAAGTGCAGATTTGTAATAAAAATCTTAATACCAGTGTCATGGTTTTTGGATATATAAGAAGCTAACCACTTGGAGAATCATATTTGATAGGTTAGAAAACTCCACAGTTAAAGATCAGTTTATAATTTACGAAGAAAATAGAAAGTTTTGTTTCTCTGAGTTGAAATTTGCAGAGCACGGCGGGAAATATTGCTAGTTTTTGGCACAAGGTTTGGTCCTATCTTCATTATTTGAGATGTGTATGAAGCCTGAGACTTCGGGGATCATTATCTGAGAAAAATCCAGCAATTCGAAGTAGAGAATTTTGACATTTTTGGCCTTTTTTGAGGTGTAACAAACACAACTCGGGATCGGAGAGGACACTCTGCGGCTGCCAGCTAGGCGGGCTGGACAGCGCACCAATCACGGAGCAGCTCCGCCCTATATAAACGGGCGGGCGCAGCGCCGCGGCCCGAGTCCCGGCCAGTGCCTCTGCTTCCGGCTCGAATTGCTCTCTCCAAGCCCGCATCAACATGTCCGAAACTGCGCCCGCCGCGCCTACTGCTCCGGCCCCCGCTGAGAAGACACCAGTAAAGAAGAAGGCTCGGAAGTCCGCAGGTGGTGCGAAGCGCAAGGCGTCCGGGCCCCCTGTGTCCGAGCTCATCACCAAGGCTGTTGCTGCCTCCAAGGAGCGCAGTGGGGTGTCTCTGGCCGCGCTCAAGAAGGCGCTGGCGGCTGCGGGCTACGACGTGGAAAAGAACAACAGTCGGATCAAGCTTGGTCTCAAAAGCTTGGTGAGCAAAGGCACCCTGGTGCAAACCAAGGGCACCGGTGCCTCCGGCTCCTTCAAACTCAACAAGAAGGCGGCCTCTGGGGAAGCCAAGCCCAAAGCCAAGAAGGCGGGTGCGGCCAAGGCCAAGAAGCCCGCAGGCGCTGCGAAGAAACCGAAGAAGTCTACAGGGGCTGCCACCCCTAAGAAAAGCGCCAAGAAGACCCCAAAGAAGGCGAAGAAGCCGGCCGCAGCTGCAGGAGCCAAAAAAGCAAAGAGTCCGAAAAAGGCCAAGGCAGCTAAGCCGAAGAAGGCGCCTAAGAGCCCAGCCAAGGCAAAAGCGGTGAAGCCTAAGGCGTCTAAGCCAAAGGCCGCCAAGCCCAAGGCTGCCAAGCCAAAGAAGGCGGCAGCCAAGAAAAAGTAAAGTTACTTTGGCCACCTGCTTGGAAGCTCAACACAACCCAAAGGCTCTTTTCAGAGCCACCCATAGACCTCAAAAAAGAGCTGTTGCACATTCTAAGTGGGCGTGGCTATGATAGAAACGCCACAGGAAAGAGGCGGGCTTTTGTCAAGGTTACGGTTACAACAATATGAACTTTTGGCAACAAAATTACGCAGAGGCAATGGGTCTTTAATCGTAAACCCGTCTGGAGGACCTTTGTGGGGGGATAAGTTGCACTTGCCATGTTTCCCGCAACATTGTAGCGTCTACTTGAAAGGTCACCACTCGTACGATCCTCCAGTCAGCCAAGTATACTGCTTAAGGTGCTGTAACGACAGTTGTACAAAGAAATGGATAATGGGATTCTCCATAGCCACTTTGAGTGTAGTATATTTGGGAGCTAATGCACCCAGAATCCTAAAATGCTTGCTTCCTCAAAAACTTTAGCCTGCTTTCTGTGAGTTAGCCTTCCGGATTGAAGAAGCCTATTTATAACAGCTTTGGGTTGCCTGGGTTGTGCTTTGTGATTGGGCGAAACTGCGGTATCAGATAGCCAATGAAGAAGTAGAAGTTTAAGTGTCGTTTACATTCGTGTTTGTGACGACACACAAAAAGCAATCCAATCCAGAAGGAAATCTTATTAACCTCATTTGAATACCGTAGCTATAAATGAATGCGGCCTAATGGGAATGGGTGGTGATTACTTCCTCAGGTGTTTGCCTTAGAGCTCTTCGTTACGTTTTTACTTTTTTCTTTCCTTGTTACGCTACAATGCCTGAACCTACTAAGTCCGCTCCAGCGCCCAAGAAGGGCTCCAAGAAGGCGGTGACCAAGGCGCAGAAGAAGGACGGCAAGAAGCGCAAGCGCAGCCGCAAGGAGAGCTACTCCGTGTACGTGTACAAGGTGCTGAAGCAGGTCCACCCGGACACCGGCATCTCGTCCAAGGCCATGGGCATCATGAACTCTTTCGTCAACGACATCTTCGAGCGCATCGCGGGGGAGGCGTCTCGCCTGGCGCATTACAACAAGCGCTCGACCATCACGTCCCGGGAGATCCAGACGGCCGTGCGCCTGCTGCTGCCCGGGGAGCTGGCCAAGCACGCCGTGTCCGAGGGGACCAAGGCCGTCACCAAGTACACCAGCTCCAAGTAAATTTAGCAAGTAAGCGTCTTTTCGCCTAACCGCAAAGGCTCTTTTAAGAGCCACGCATCTTTTCAACAAATGAGTTGTAATCCTTCCATTCCTGAGGGTTTTCGGAGTTTGCATACTAGAATTAAAGCTATGCTGCCATTTTTTTGTTTTGTTCTGTTTTGATACTGGATGCATAGCTCAGACAATACTTGAACTCCCAATCCTCATACCCTAGTGAGTGCTGAAATTATCGAGGATGCGCTACCACGCCCGGCTTTATATGCTATCAATCTTTAATGTAACCGAGCTGCATAGGAAATGCTTGTAAAATGCAAGGAACAGAAGTGGCTACCAGAAGTTGAGCATTCACCATGGGTATACACAAGTTCCATATAGTGAGCTCGGTGTTCCCTAAGTGTACATATTCTAGGAACTAAAAATAGTGTAACTATCCACCTCTTCTTTTCGGTAATATAGTTGTCCAAGTTGATCATGAATTGGTCCACCGGCGACTGATAGCTGCTCGCCCAGAGCATAAATTGCGCATGTTTGACAACTTGGTTCTGCCGAGAGTTTTCTTTTTTCCTTTTAAAACACATCTAGAAATGTGATACTAACAGGGGAATGAAGACAACCAGTTTTCACAGAGGTATGTTGTGCCTGCTTTTCAATTGAGCCAATTTCAGTGTGGCTCTGAGTAGTTGAGGCGGGGAGGAAGGTGTGTCTTACATCTAAAAGGTACCAACAGAAAGAAAGGGGAATGAAATTTTTTGAGACTCAAGTTGTTGGTTGCTCTCTTTCCAAGAAAGTTATTTAATTTATAGTCTTTAGGCAGTGTTCAATTTAAAAGTCCTCAATAACTGGAGAAACTTAATAGATAATCTCTTAAGGTGTCTGACTGCAAATAGGTAATACTTCCCCTAGAACTGAGGCTCCCTTTTCAGTAGGGTTCACCCTTTCCTGGATGTCCTAGAATGCTAGGAGAAGAGAAGGTAGAAGGTGGGAGTGGAGTGAGATGCCTTCTAACAAGGTGTTCCTGCTGCTGCCTCAGGTAGGATGGCATTTTGCTTTTGGAGGAATGGATTATTGAGGGGGGAAAAAATGTAGGGGGAAACCAGTGGAAACCGGGAAATAGTGGCTAAGAGGACAGGAAACAATGATTTAGAGTTCCACAAGAAATCCATGAGGTTCACCAGGCTATGTGTTGCTGTGAAGTGGTAGCTGAAACACAACTTTGGTGGAGGGAGTAATTGATGCAGGAAGGAATGAATTTAGAAATTCTAGTGTCCTCGTGACCTCACAAGTAAAATGTGTTTATATATTTTGGGGAAAGATTTTGTATATGTCAAGTTTGTTGCCTAGATGAATAACAAAATGATGATTTTTTTTTTTTTTTAATTTTAAAGCAACAAAAACCAGCTTAAAAACAATAAGGAACTCAGGCCCAGGGACTTGCCTACGTGAAACCCCAATAGCTAGAGCCTGCTTCCACTCAAACCTAAGCTTTGGTTTCTAGGGTGTTATATGGAACCTGACTGTGGTGAGGAGCATTATAGGAAACCTCTGCCTCTGATGCTGAGACAACACACCAAAAAATACGTCCTCAGTCAAAGAACTGCAAACACATACATTGTCATATACCCACAGACTGGTCACAAATGATTGCAAAGAAAACTGTCAGCTCTGAACTTGCTGCTCAGCAGGTTACATTTGGCCACTGAGATTCAGACTACAAGCCAAGTCGTGGCTGCTTACTTGTTCCCAACATTCATACCACAGAGAATCAAAGTAGTTAAACAGAGAATTTAATCTAGGGATACCTACACTGGTTCACTGGTTTTGTGACCCTGAGCACCTGGTAGGAGCAAATATGAATGTGATTACTAAGTAATCATAGGACTATAATATCAAACAGAATGGTGCAGATAAGAGATTTAAAGGATCATGACTGAGAACTCTAGAATTGATGGATTACTCAAGATTAGAAATAATTTAAATGAAGGCTGGCAGAATGGCTGAAGTTGTAGGGTGTCTGCCTAGCAAGCCTGTGGCCCTGAGTTCAAAACCCAGTATCACCAAAAAAAAAAAAAAAAAAGCTATAAAAGAAATCATTTACATGAAGTAAAAATATTACAAAAAGTGTGTCACCATGTGACACTGAATTGAGCTCTATAAATTCTTAACAAATGCAATACAGATTTCATAACCTTTTAACAATCATTAGTGATTTTCATAAGTATGTGCCTTCTGTTCCATAATGACAGAAGGCCTCAGATTAAAACATTGAAATGCTGTGTGTGTGGTGATAATTAAATGATTATTTATGTGTATTTTGTATCTAGCCAACTTTCCCAAATTCTGTTAATTCTAATCAATATTTAATGGACTGCCTTGATTTTCCTTGCATATATTATTATTACCAAATAAAATGTTTGACATGCTTTCCAGTGACTATTTGTTAGTTGTTTGTATCATCTTTTGTTAAGTACAATCCATATGAGCAAAGCTAAGTCATCACTGTCTTTTTTTTCTTCTTTTCAATACAGTAGGCTTTGGTAGTTTGTTTATAGTATTGATTTGGGGGGGTAATATTTATTTGCTGTGGTTTCCTTCAAACTGTTTTAAAAGATACTGTTAGGAATGTTTTATAGATGCTATCCAATCAGTTTGTGGCATCTAATGAAATTATGCTTTTTAATTCCTTAACCTATTGCAGTGAAGTATAGGTAGACTTCCTTATGTTGATTCTGATTCCTATTTGGATTCCTAGTCCTAGTATTATTTTTTCATGTAATATTATTTTCTTAAGTAATGACTGAATACATTCTCTTAATATTTTACATATTTTTCCCACATATTCAGACATAATCATGAATCACCTTCATTTGATTCTAAAGATTGAACATTGATTGTGGAGCTCTTTATCTCTATTAGTAATTCATTATGATGCTGTGCAACATCTTCCCAAAACTGAGTAGCTTAAATCAATGAACATTTCACATTTGCTAGCTCTTTTAATTTCTGTGAGTTAGGAATTAAATGGGTTGTTACAGATCAGGATTTCTCCTGAGGTTAGAGTCAAGGTATAAGAATTGACTGTAGTAATCCAAGGGCTTGATAGCACACCTGAATGTGGAGCTGGCTAATGGCCAGAGGCCTCAGTTTCTTGCCACAAAGACCTCTTCAGAAGGCTAATTGACCATCTTTCAAAACATGGCAGCTATTAGCCCCCAAAGAGAGAAATCAGAAAAAGTCATAATTCCTTTTGTGACCAAATTTCAAAAGTCATACAGTGTATCACCCATATTCTACTCAATACAAGTAAGTCATTTAAATCTTGCACATACTCAAGCAATTAGGCTTCATTGTTTTAGGTAAGGATAAAGATTATGTGGGTATATTTTTTAAATTATCACATCATCTCCTTTATGTTTGAAGTCCTGGAATGTAAGGTGTATTTGTGCTTTAAAAACTAGATAGAAATCAGCTGTAAAATACCTGTACCTGAATAAATAAATAAATAAGTAACCTGGACTTAACAACTTTATAAATGATAGACCTTTAAGAATTCTAACACCTTAGACTACAGCTGACCACTATCCACAAAGGCAAAGTTCAATAGACTATCCACATGATTTCTTGGTGGACATTTCCGTGAGTTTGTAAAAGACAAAAAGCCCCTTTGTGTACAACATCAACCCAGCATACAGCAGGAACTTTTTAGAAAGGTACTTAATTAATTCATCTGAGAAATCCTAAATTGCAATCTGTAAAGCATGGCTGCTGTTGAAATGTCCAACAAATAGAGCTGGGCTTTTTAAAGGAAAAAGAAAGCAATTAAAACCACAAAAAGACATAAAAAGTTTTAATCTCATACTGTAAAATATGAAAATATTAGAAAATAATCTGGAAAATGAGATTTAAAATCCATTAAGAAGTTAAAGCTAATTACATAATTTAATATATGGAATTTAAGGCTAATAATTGGCTACTTTAAAAGGTGCAATATTTAAAATATAAGGTAACAAATTAAGAGTTAGAGAAGGAAGGTAAAAAAAGACGAATAGAATTTAGTCATGAAGAATGAGAGATTTTTAGAACATGTAAAAATTCCCTGATGAATTGTAGCATGACTATTTTTCAGAGTATTTACTTACAAATCAGTTTATCTAAGAGATTGTCACTGAATGTCTTTAAACTAGGCACCTGTGTTAAGATTGAAGATTTAAAAAAAAGAGAGAGAAGATGATCTTCTTTCAGCCACACAGAATTACAGCTAATTATTTTTATTATTCTTTCACTAGACCTAAAATGCTTCTCATACATTGGGAATCTGCAGATAAGTGAATGGATCTGGGCAAATATGGAGACTGTCAAGCTCATTAAATTAAGGAAAAATATTCATCTCAATTTTTGAGTAATAGGGAAAAAATAAAATAATATTAATATCATTGTAACTTATTGTGAAGTTAAGGAACTTAATTTCCATAAGTCCAGAAGACTGCCCTTAAATTTGAGGCCAAATGCAGATGTCTGGTGTCTCCAAACCCATACCCAGATTTGGAAAGAAAGAGTCACATAACTCAGTAAAAGATATTATACACAAGATTACAATTTATTGCAACAAAAAGATGAAGATTAAAACCAGCCAAGGTTCCAAACACATCATGATTTCTGGGTAATGACGTAGGAAAATACAACACATGCATATGGAATATTAACAACCATGAAGTCACCCAAGATTTGATGTTCATACTTTTTACTAGGCCTCAATTACATGCACATAAATGACTGATTATATGTCTGACCCCAGGTCTCCATCTGTCCTGAGGTAGGGCAAATATGGCATGGCCCCAAAGTTCCTACCATAAATCACATTCTTGAACAAACTGGAGTACCCCTAGGCCCCTAGTAAACTAGAGTCTGTTAACAGGACATTCTTAAGGCCTAAAGATCATCTCCTAGCCAAAGACAAATGTTGTACAACTCTAATCCTTTACTATACACTTAGTCTTTAAGAAAATTATATGACAGGTATTACATTTCTTGAGCTTTGGGTTGAATGGCTTGATTTAAAAAATGCTACCCTCTGAGGAGTTTTCTCTAACCATCAAATGTAAAAATGGCACTCTTCTATCCCCATTGCTAACTTCCTATACTTATTCTTCTTCATTATAATTAGACATGACATAAATTTACTTGCTTATTTATTGTTTGCCTCTGCTTCTCATCCTCAAGACTGTAAGATCCATAGGGAAGGAACTTCAACTTTTATGTTGCTCACTTTTATAATGCTTAAGGCTGTTCCACAAGCACAGCAGACTCAAATATTGCATGGTGACTAAAGTGCACTTGCACTTATAACAGCATAAAAAGAGGACAAGGATGAGTTGTCACAATGGTCCAAATGAATAAGTGACCCAGAAGGTCTAATAGCAGACCACTTAGAGTTATTTTAAGAAGTGAGATAATTCATGCAAAGCTCTTAAAATAGACATGATCATTTTGCAACTGTTAGGGATTGTTTTTACCTTTTCAGTGAGTTAAAAGGAAACTCAATGTGGCCAAATCTCTTCAGGTCAAAAACTAAAGAGAGAGAATATATATGCCTTTGAACTACTTAATTCCCACAAAAAGGGTAGTTGAGCAATTTGAAACAAATCATATTATTGAGGAATGTCTTTTGACTAAGCATGATTTGAGCTATTATTTGTTAATGCAAATCTCTAAGATGCAGGTAACATTGGACCAGAGATTTCTGATAGAACATTATATAAGTGCATGTAAAAAGATCCTCTTTTTATAGGAAATATAAATGCTGATGGCAAAATGACACCTAATACATCCTTCTTATTTCTTTAATCAGGACAGAGATATGACTACAGAAAAGAAATGAATAATGTCCATGAAGATATGAATCTGTCCATGGAAGTTATGAAGTATGAAAAGTCAGCCAAATCCAACCCATCCTGATTTACTGCACATTGATTCATCAAGAGATCATTCCAAGTGGAAGAGTTCAAGCAAGATGTTTTAGCTTTTTCATTTTATTTGTTGCTTGATTTATAAAAATAGAATTTACTGCTGTTACAGGCATACTTACTAAGAATTCATTAGTAACCATGGGCTACGTACTTTTGCTAGAAGTCTGAAAGGATGGCAGAAAGTTTGTAAACAAAACATGATTAATAAAATCTGTGGAGAATTGGAATTCTACATTCATTGTTGAGTCAAATCTTTCTTCCACAGCTCCCGTTTTCTACACTGTCTGTGCATCTATCCGCCTGTCAGTCTTCACATTTTCTGGCATCAAGATCTAAATGGGTAAGACCCTAAGCACTGTTATGCCTTCAGAAATGATCCTGAAAGTAAAACTTCTTGTTTAGTTAAACCACTGTTTATTTTTGCCACCTCCTCTATTTTAAACTAAAGAAGTCTTTGGAGCGGTCGCAAACTTGCTTGTGTGTCAAAATTACCTGAAGTTCTTTTAAAAATACAAATTGCCGAGCATTACCCTCATAGTTTCTGATTCATCGGGTCTGGAGTAGAACCTGATAGTTTATATTTCTAAATTATATGGATGATGCTGATTCTGTTGGTCTGGGCACCACATTTTAGTAACCTACTTCGTTTTGTTAATTTATTTTTTAATTTTGTTGTTTTGGGGGAATTGGGGTTTGAACTGAGGGCTTGCTGCTTACAAAGCAGGTGCTCTGTCTAGCGCTTGAGCCATATCTCCTGTTTAACTAAATAATCATTTTTTTAAGTACTGGGGTTTGAACTCAGGACCTTACGCTTGCTAGACCGGCACTCTACCACCCGAGCCACTCCGCCAGTCCGCATATCTTCATTTAAAAAAAACTTGTAATTGCCCTGAAAGGCTACCTCCAAATAAACACACAAACCCAAACCTCCGCAAAATTTTAAGCTGGAGGTGACAGGTCCTGAAATGGCTGGGCCGTCCTCCTGCAGAGGAAGCAACACAGGTGTCGCAACAAATCTCGGCGCCAGTATAGTGCCACACCTGCTCTCGTGTGCGGCATCTCCGCCCGCCCCTCCCCGCCGGCTCCACACCGTGAGTTCGTCTGGCCACGCCCCCTCACGGCGTGACGTCAGAGCACGCGATACGCTCACTTTACGCCCCTCCAGCTCCTCCCTAAGGCAGTCCGCAGGCTGGTGTCAGCCTGTCGCTCGCAGCCGCCCCCTGGTGACTCCCACATCCCTGACTTTGGCAGCCACAGACATCCAGAGTCTGAACAGTCCACTGTGGTCGTCTACGGCTAAAAAGAGAATGTAAGAAACTCGAAGATGGAGAAGTAGGGCAAAGACCTTCCCGTGGTCCTTTTGCTGCTCTTCCGACTTTTTCTGACAGCTCAAAGAAGAAGCAAGGAAGAAAGTTACAGATCCAATCTCTCAGTGTCTCAAAGCTGTTTTAGGGAGGTGGCACCTCCTCTTGTCTCCCGTGGATGAAGACACCCCTTAAAATTCAAAGGACACCTTACTGTTTGTAGGATATCTCTTGTGAGAATTCAATGTATGTGTGTAGATAGTTATTTCCCAATTGAAGAACTATGTGTGTGTGTGTGTGCATACTTTTTGCAGGTACAAGCAGGGCCGACATCCATTAGGCACAGTAGGCATAGAGCCTAGAGTCCACGGCAAGTTTAAGAGCTCATGAAAATATTTTAACTTTTAAAATAAAAAATTGAAATTTTAGGTTGAAGAAAACATTCTAATATATGTATTAATCTTTATTTGACTTCATTATAGTGATATTTAATAGAGGAAGGGGTCTATGAAGGAAAAAAATGCCCAGGGCTCAAGAAAGACAATCAGATGTGAGTGCACATAGCAGACAACTCTCCCCGTTTTATTTATTTACTTATTTTTAAATGTCAAACATTTAATAAATGGTAGAGGGCATTCTGACCAGACAGGTTAACTCCATATTCCTTCCTCTTAACCGTTATTACACTAAAAAGACCATCTCTTAATAATTCTAAGGAATTAATCTAAAGAACAGGTTAAAAACAAAACCTTCTCACGAGATTGTGAGATTTCCACTTTTTTCCCCTACCCCAGTCCACCATATTAGTTTTGCACAAGTATTCCTCTCCCCATGACGCAGGTACACACCCACTAAACAAATGCCACTCTGCCCCATCAGGGATGCGTCTCATCCCACTTTCCCACCCAAACACCACATACATAGAAGAAGCTCACATTTTCTGCATTGAAAGCATTCACCAACTTAAAGAGTCAATCAGGTGCCTTTTACTAACAGTGTAAATTGAACTTAGAATCACAGAACTATTTTAACATATTTACACCCATGTTCCATTTCCAAAGATAAAGACTCAGCTACCCAGGAGGCAGAAATCAGGAAGACTGCAGTTCCATGACAGCCCAAACAAAAAGTTAGCAAGACTCCCATCTCAACAAAAAAGCCAAGTGCATCTGTCATCCCAACTAGGTAGGACATAGGTAGGAGGATCACCAACCCTTAGCAAAAACACAAGACCCTATCTGAAAAAAATAAAGCAAAAAGAGCTGTAAGTAGAGTACAAGACAAGCAAGTGGAAAATCCTGAGTTCAAACACCAGTACCACAAAAAAAAAAAAAAAAAAAGCCAAGACTCAAATCATCCAGTAAAAGGCTATCTATAAGCTGTTGGGAAATATGAGTAAAGAGGCTCCCAAAAAACAGGAAACATGCCTGACTATTCTGTTCACCTTTTGTCTATACCTGCACCAAGGGCACACTGTTTTAATCATTGTAGATTTATGTGTTCATATATACTGTGAAGGCCCACCACTTCTTTTCTTTTTGAAAAACATCTTAAATATTTTTGTTCATCAATATAAATTTTACCAAATGCTCTATCAAACATTGAATAAATTCCATAAACCCCAAAATTGGCTAAAAGATTGATTAAACTCATTTGGCAAATAATCAAGTTTTATTGACTTGATGATGCTCTAATTTCATTAAATTAAATCTCTCTCTCTCAGTCCTGGTATTTGAACACAATGCAGTGTGTTTGCTAGGCAAGTGCTCTACCACTTCAGCCACACCTTCAGTCCCTAAAGTTCTATATCTCTTGAATTAGAAATAAATCAGACCAAAGAGATCTTGTATTCCCAGACAATATATCTTCCTCACAGAATGATCATACATTATACAAATAGGTATTCTTTTTGAGGTGAAATCCTATGGAGATGCTGAAATTTTATTTGAGCCAAAATTTGGACATTTCCTTAAAAACTGTCACACCTAAAATGACTGCATATTGATGTAACTCTACAGCTTTGGCTCTCAACTAAGTGGCTTTCCACCTCACCCATAAGAGTAGTAAATAATATAGTAGATAAATTCTTATCTATTATATTAATAAAGATGTAGTATTAGTAAAAACTAATGTAAACAGATAAGTAAACAAAGTTAATAATAATGCTAATATAAATTGACTCATAACAACAAATGATCCTAGACAAAGGATCAAAAAAGGGAACATTAAAAAAAATATATGGGAAAGAGGAGGAATTTGAAGAAGCATGTCCCTTTTTGCCCATTGTTGTATTCCGCTAGCCACAGCTTCTCTGCAGGTGGAAACCAAGCAGAAGTATAAACTGCTCCCTATTACAGTGCATCTCAAGCCATAGGGTGTGTCCATATCACATGAGGATCTTGTTAAGATGCACAGACTGTGCAAGACTGGAGTAGACTCTAAATTTCTAAGCTACTGGATGACTTCCTACTGCTGACCCAGGTACCACAATTTATGTAGTAATGCTTTAGTAGAAAGGAAGTAATTAGATTAAATTAACTGAAAAGCAAGAGTCAGTGAGAAATGACACCATTCTTTCAGGATATAGGCCCAGCAAAGGAAGGTGGGTCTGTATAAGGGTACAATTAAGAAAGCTGGGGTTTCTCTAAGAAAAATGTGTTGAAAAAACAGTATTGGAGGGCCTGGACAATGTAAGGCTATTTGGAATTGGCACAATGAATGAATCCTCTCCCCCATACAATGAATATGTGGTAATAAAAATGAGAAAAAAATAAAAGTAAATTAAAAACAACACCATTGGACACCTCTCCTCTCTCTCTCTCTCTCTCTCTCTCTTCCCCTCACTCTCTCCTGCCCTCACTAACCCCTTGAATGTGCAATTTTACTATAAATAAACTTCTTTCCAATTCCTCAAAATGGGGGAGAGGAAGCAGGCAGGCATGGTGGTGCATTCCTGCAATCCCAGCTATGCATTTTAGGCCTAAGTAGGATTAAGATCTGAGACCAGCCATGGCAAAAAGCAAGACCATATCTGAAAAACAACTAAAGCAAAAAAGGGAGCATGGCCCAAGTGGTAGCACCTGCCTAGCAAACACAAGTCCTTCAGTTCAAGCCCCAGTACCACCACTAATAATAATCATAATAGTATAATAAAGTGCTTATCATCTAAGTTCAGGGGCTAAATAAGAATAAATATCTAATCAGGAAGATGAGGCAAAAAGTCCGTTTACATAAAATTTCAACCTCTGTTACATTCAGTGTGTTACTGAATAGACTTGGGCTATTTATTCATTTTTCAAAATACATATATAGGGAAGGAAAATTTTCATCTCTATGATCTTATAGTCTCTGTTTGAACCTAAGAATTAAGCTGACATTGGGCAGATTAGCAGGAGAAAAGCATGTCCATTCTATTACATTTTATATATGCATAGGACTACTTACAAGAAAATAATCCAAAGAAGCAGTTGGAGTTGAGCTGGTACATATGCTGAACTGGATCAAGAATAAATTATGAAACTAAAACAAGACAGAGGGCTTGGGCTAGGGCAGGTAACTAAGAAAAAAATAACTAGGAAGATGAATGTTTACAAGCTTCATATGAGCAACTTTTTAATGTCAGTGCTTATTATGGTTAATAACAATTATTCAAAACTTCTGGGGGAAATTCAAGGGCTGAGTAAGAAGGGTGGCCTGTCATTTTTGTATGCCAGAACTAAACCTTAAGGTTGAGAACTTCAACATCTATTGATGAGTCCTCCCCCAGCAGCTCTATGAGTGTCTCAAGCAGGATCACCTGGTTTAAACTCCACATGCTTCACAGAAGAACTTAACCCAATCCACCTACCTTTCTCTCCCCTGCCTCAAGACAGTCATCTGTCATTCTCCCACATCCCTCACACCCAGTAAATCATCAAGGACACTCCAGCTCAACAATGTTCTTGTGAAGTGTAATGTGAGCTACATATGCACTTGTAGCTCTCTGATGAACACATAGTAAAATCACTAAAAAAAAAAAGCAGATGATTAAAATCAATAAAGTTTTATTTTAACCTAATGTAACTAAAATGTTCTCATTTCAACATGTAATCTATAAAAAATTATTAATGAATACTACTTTGCTTCCTTTTTGAATGCTAAATCTGTACAATTTATACATACAGCATATCTCAGTTTTGATGCTAAATTTGCATTGGTATTTAGATTTTATAAAATATTTTACAAATTTGCATATCTAAGTTGTATCTAGATACTTATTTTTTTCAATTGCATCAAGTACTGGTTTGTAAAAATAAATAGCATTTTGAAATTAATTTTACACTAGCCATAGCCACACTTAAGTGACTAGTCACCTCATGTGGTTAATGGTTACTAACCAATATAGTGGGAAATATATTGATGGCTTATCTCTAATCTATAAACTTAGATTCAGAAACCATTCTACTGTAATTTGTATTGCCAGTGCCTAGAAGATTTTTTAAATGGCCAAATGAAATATTAAAATAATTATTAATAAAACTTAACTATCTTCTCACAAGTGATGATTTACTCACACAAGAGACAGAGAACATTTTAGATTGTCAACTTTAAAAAGTCAAATATAGCTGAGCAAGATGGGGCACAACTATAGAGCCTGCACTTGGAAGCCTGAGGCAGGTAGATTGTGAGTTTGAGGCCTGTCTTAAATAAATAAATAAATACATAGTCAAATATAGGTTTTATTAGACCAATGGGGGAAAATGGGAAATTGGGTAGAGCAAATCTTGTAAAAAAATTTTTTGTTATTGGCTAGTTTTGCATTTGACTGGGGAAAGGGAAAGATAAATCCATCTTCAAATAATAGAGGTCAGGCTGGGCAATATGCCTTTCCAGCTCTCATGAAAAAAAAAAATTAAGTTAGGCATGGTGGTGTACTTCTGTACTGGGTTTTTTTAGACAAGGTTTCCCAAACTATTTGCCTAGATTTGGCTCTGAACCAGGATCCTCCTGATCTCTGCCTCCTGTGTAGCTAGGATTACAAATATGAGCTACCAGTGCCTGGCTCAGGGTTTACTTCTGTAGTCCCAGCTTCTCTAGGGTGTTTCATAGCTTAAGGCCACAAGTTCCAGATCAACATGCAGCACACCAAGACTCCTCTTTGAAAAATAAAAAGAAAGAAGAGAGAGAGAATATAAAAGAATTTAGTATAGTTCTTATAGGTTCCTCAAAGGAGTCTGTTAGTACGGTGATGGAGTGATATGACAGGTTGTTCCTGCAATATGTGTCAATATCCTTCTATCAGCACTGCTAGCTCAGGTAGACCATGTGCACACAATTTCCCTAAATGTAGTTTCTCATTCTCAACGATTGTATGCCTTTGTTTTGTTGAGTCACACATTTATTTATTTGCTAAGTGGCTACTAGTTTCTTTTGTTGTTTTTATTTTGTTTTGTTTTGTTTAGAGAAGGGGTCTTATGTTGCTCAGGCTGGCCTCCAACTCCTGGGCTTAAGGACTCCTCCCACCACAGCCTCCCAATACCAGATACTTCTTTGCAGACAAAGATGAAGGGAGGCTCTGTCCCTGGTCCCTATCACAAAAAGAGTCAAATGATTATACCACAAGGAAATGTGATATAATCTTATGTTGTCATAAGAAGACTATCAACTAATGTGAAAGATCCCCACCACCACCACCCTGCCATGGTGCTGGATGCTAAACACAGGGTTTTTCACATACTAGGCAAGCACTTGGTATTTTGAGACAGGGTCTCACTATGCAGCTCAAGTTGCCCTTGAAGTTGCTATGCAGCCCAAGCTGGCCTGGAATTCATGATCCTTCTGCCTCTGCCTCCCAAGTGCTGGGATTACAGCCATGTACCACCATACCTAGCAGAAGATAAACTTATTAGAAAGTACCTTTTACATATAACCTAGAGAAATGTGTTCATATCTATCCTAGGAAACGTACAAAAAAGTTCTAAATTTTAGGAGAGGAAACTCAGTGCTTGCCTCACATGTACAAAGCCCTGGGTTCTACCCTAAGCATCACAAATAATAATAGCAATAATAATAATAGTAACAGCAAATAAGACACAAGATGAATGTCTAATGCAATAAAATGAATAAACAAATGTCACTATTTCATTACTAAAAATGATGGTATCAACATAAATGAAACATTAAAATATCAATTTGAATGAAAAAAATCATGTTTATTTTAAAAATTAAAGATAGGCAAAATGAAAGAATAAACAATTTATAGGTCCATATTTACAAGTGGAAACTATAAAGAAAACCAAAGAAAGCCAGTGCAAGTGGTGCACACCTGTAATCCTAGCTACTTGGGAGGCTAAAATCAGGAGGATGAACATTTAAGGCCAGTCTAGAGAAATAGTTCCCAAGATCCCAAAAAAACCACTGTAAAGTGGGCTGGAGGTGTGGCTAATGAGGTAAAGCACCTGCTTTGCAGGTGAAGCCCTACCACAAAATGATGTAGGACAGTGCTTTGTCTCATGGAGTGTGTATGGAGAGGAGCTCTGCCTCTCCTACTTTGTCTATCTCTTTTCTCTCTCTGCCATTTTTCCCTAAATCCTGTTTGAATTTTTCTGTCTTATTTTTCTTTATAAATATATTATAGAATTAAAACGGCTGCATTCTTATCAATCTTTTGTAGTCATTAAGAGTTTTAAAGTAAGAACAACAAAAACATTCTCTTTTTCATTTTGAAGACTAGAAGGAAGTCTTTTCTGGTGAAAGGCCCAAACTCTGCTTAAATCATCATTCTGGTTTCACCACTTACAAGCCATGAAGTCTGGGAAACAGACCTCATCCGGAACACTTTACTTTCCTTTTCTCTAAAATGTAAAAGTAATATTAATCACAAGGACTTTTAAAAGTAAATAAATACAAACATGCAAAGCACATGTACTATTAACACTGCTGCATAATGCAGTACATTGAATAAATCTTCCAGAGGGTTTCTCCTAATCACAGGAGTAACAAAAACAAACTTAAAATTTTTGAGACAAAATATCAGACTTAAATTCATTAGTGCTCTCTTTTTAGATGTTAATCTGCCTCACAGAAGAAATCCACTTACACAGGAGCCTTGTCTGAGAGCTTAAAGCTGTGTCAGTGGAGACAAGGGGGGAGGGAAACAGAAAGATGATTTATTAAAAAAAAATAAATAAAAACTAAACTTAGGAAGGACACTGCAGAAAGTGAAAACAGAAGAATTAGCTAAAAAGCCAACTTCAACCAAAAGAAATAAGACAGTAAAAGTAAGACTACCATTTTAGATTTTTTTTCCTAATCTTTTCATTAAGTAGATTAAATATTTATTTCTGATCATAGCTCTGTAACTTCATGAGGGGTAAGTCACTCTTTTCCAATAGGAAGCATCAGCCATATTGGCTAAGAAACGTTTTTCTGCCTTATCGCCCTTTAAGGGGTGTTACTTGTCTATCTTTCTGGGGTTTATTCCTCGCTGTTTATTTTTGCACTGAATTTGTGCACAGATGCACAGTATTCACAGTAGGAAACGCTGTCTTTGGAATTCTCTAAATCACCTTCTCCTTTCCTCCCCAGAGGCTTTGTAATTTTTTTTTAGTACTGGAATTTGAACTCAGGTCCTCATGCTTGCTATGCAGGCACTGTACCACTTAAGCCATTCTGCCAGCTTAAAATTCTTGAAAGTAACTGTGCCACAAGATTTTTCTACATGGCACTTCAAAACACAGGACAGGAAAAACGACTTTTAAAATCTAACAAACAAGCTAATCATAATTGTTGAGAATTAAAGGAATTCATTGTAAAAAGAGTAGTAGGTTAAAGAAGTCTGATTGGTGGAAAACTGACTGCTCACAAACAAACCAATCATAGACATGGAAACTAAGTCTTCATTTACATAAAGTTGTCTACAAATAAGCAATATCCCAGGAGCCAGGCTTCACTTTCTCTTTTCCAAGAAAGCGAAGTCTAACATGCCTGAACCAGCGAAGTCCGCTCCAGCGCCCAAGAAGGGCTCCAAGAAGGCGGTGACCAAGGCGCAGAAGAAGGACGGCAAGAAGCGCAAGCGCAGCCGCAAGGAGAGCTACTCCGTGTACGTGTACAAGGTGCTGAAGCAGGTCCACCCGGACACCGGCATCTCGTCCAAGGCCATGGGCATCATGAACTCTTTCGTCAACGACATCTTCGAGCGCATCGCGGGGGAGGCGTCTCGCCTGGCGCATTACAACAAGCGCTCGACCATCACGTCCCGGGAGATCCAGACGGCCGTGCGCCTGCTGCTGCCCGGGGAGCTGGCCAAGCACGCCGTGTCCGAGGGGACCAAGGCCGTCACCAAGTACACCAGCTCCAAGTAAACTTTGTACTACAACTACATCAACAAACCCAAAGGCTCTTTTCAGAGCCACTCACCTATGTTCACAGTTGGAGCTGCACACTAGAAATAGAAACGTTGTTAGGAAACTACTGCCAACCGCGCGTTGCGATGGCGCGCCCGCTTCGCCCACTTCTGACTGCGGTTCCCCGGCTGAGGTGCTGTATGCTCCGCACTTGGGCTGAAATCCTGCAACGCCCAACCCTAGGATCGATCCTTGGTTCTTTTTTGTGTTTGGTGTAGGCAGTATCTGGGCTGCTAGGAACACTTCCGGAAGATCTAGTCGCCATCTTATGTAAAATGGCACCCTGTCGTGTCTGTGACAACAACTTTGATAATTCTGCCCTCTAAAGGCTAAAATTAAAATGACTTCTTCCCCTCACCTTCTACTCCTGGCTCTTTAATTCTTTTAGACTGCGAACACGTAAGGCTTTTTTTTTTTCCTTGATACACTAGTTAGAATGGAGTTGGGAGTACTGCAATTTCAAGTAAGAAAACGGTAGTTTTACGAAAGGAAAAAGGATGTCCTCTCGCGGGAATGGTTTTATTTTGCCTTACCTCTCGTAAACTATTTTTTAAAAAAAAGACAAACTTATCGCTGGCTTTTTTTTTTTTTTTAAGGTGTAAAGAGTAAATTCCCTGCCCCTCCCCCGATTTATTTCATCAACTCGCCCCGCAGAAATACAGTGTTAAGTATTCGGCTCTCACTAGAAAGGCTGTGAAGTAAGTACAGGAGTGGCTCCTCAGCCTCCCATCCGCTCTGTTTCCTGCGAGTTCCCATTCGAGCCCAACTCTATCCTATCTCCATTGCTTCTGCTGATTTCAGCCCCTGACAAGACAGTGTTGTGAGAATAAACGTGGAAGTACATTTTGGGGGTGAGGTATGGGGAAGGGACTTGTACTGTCGATGGAACCCACACGTACCCCAGGGTGTAACTTCTTAACGTTCACTTGCTGGATACTGAGGTTTGGAAGTCTATGGCTTGTAACCACTTATATGCCAAAGAGACTAAATCCCAGAAAATAAACAAGATAGCTTCTCTTCCTCATTTCTCAAGTCACTGCAGGAGTACAGGATTTTTTGGAGAAGGAGAGAAAGGTTTGGTTGGGGCTTCTCACTTATAAATGGAAATACTAAATCCACCCAAGAATCACTGTGGCTGGCCTGTGGAGGGTCCTGACAAACTCGCCCAGCCAGGCGTCTCAGCCAGTATATCTGGCATTTGTTTGTCACAGGGGCTCACTGTGTAGCCCAGGCTAGTCTTAAACTTAAACCCTAATGCCTTAGCCTCCCCAGTGCTGGAATTACAGGCATGTTTCACCATGCCGAGCCTCAAGTCTCAATAAGTAAATGCAAAAAATAGAAACAATAACTTCATTTTAAAATTACCAAAGTACAACTCGGTTACAGCTTTATTCATCTTGATTTTAGTTCACTGTCAATAGTGAATACAATTTCCATTTCAGAATTACAGCATTTGTTTTAAATGCACACCTAATTGTGTAAGACCCATGCTCAGAGCTTTTCAATGTTACCCCACTGCTCTTAGCAAAAAATCAGAAAACTGTGCTATGGCCTCAAGCTCTGTAAAGCTGTCCTCATCTAATTCCATGAAACCCAACCTGTGGCAATTCTTGTTTTCCTTTCTCCCCTTGTCACCGTCACCCTCTGCCCCCCTTTCTTTCGGGTAAATCATTGTGTTCTTGCAGAAACTGGTCTCTAGTGGTTAAGGTTTTCTAAAGGACTCAAAGAACTGGCTTTATATCTATCCCCAGTGGAAACATTAATGAAGGGCCTGGGACCCTTAAGATTGGTGCAGTTGAATTGGGATCAGATCCCTAATGCTGGAAGTAACTCTGCCTTCTTTGGGGCACAAGGAAGGCAGAAAGGGAATAACTGAATTGAATCAAAGTTATATAAGAAAGGAAGAAGGAGAAATAATCTTTGGTAAGGCACAGCCAATGTCTGATATAAGGACATTCCTGGTAGACAGAGGCAGCATCCAGTAGGCAGAAGGTTCACAGACATTTATTTACAAAACAAGCACCAAATTATGTAAAAGGATATAGAGCAGTGGGTTCTCAAACTTGAGTGTGCATTAGAATCACCTGGAGGGCTTGTTCAAGGACAATCCCAGAGTCTCTGTTTCATTAGCTCTGGGGCTGTACCTGGGAATTTGCCTTTCTAAAAAGTTCCCAAGAAATACAAAGGTTGCTTGTCTGGGGTTATGTTTTGAGAACATCTGACACAGAGAAGAACAAGCTTAGTAAAGCCCGTGCCCATGTGGAACTTTCACTCTGGTAAAGTTGCAAGATTTATAATGTAAGATTGTGAAATGGGTATATGTCAAACAATGAAGTTCAGATTTATTTTAGAGACAATAGGAAGTTACTGAGCAGGGACTGGCAAGATCACTAGCTTGCTTCTAGTGGCAGAATAAGAGGGAAAGGATATTCATGAAAAGGGGGTGGGGGGACTCAAGCTAAAGAAATGGCAACTTCAGTGGGGCACTAGATACAAGAAACAAATCCGAAAGCTGTTGAAGGGCTTACATCCAGTATTGTTTGGAATGTTGGTTGTATTTCCTCTGTGCTAGACATTGACATATGGAATTGAGGCAGCAGACCAAGAATCAGCTCTCCAGGAGCTAATATCCTAGGGTGAAAAGAAACAATTACACGCTGACAACTCAGCAAGATAATTTCAGACAAATTTCTGACTGCTGTGCAAATATAAAACCAAATGCTAGGATTGTGATTAGGTGATGCTTTAGATAAAGAAACCAGAAATCTAGGATATAAAAGTTCCAGGACAAAGTAGCTGTTGGTTATTAAAAAACAACATTATGTACTAAAAGAAGGTACCATATATTTACTTTGTAATACCACAATCTGGGATTGAGCACTTTTAAAACTGCTATAAGAAGAATGAATTTTATGGGATTAAAAATAGAAAGAAGGGAATAATTGGGATGTTATTGCAATAATCAAGTTGAAAGACAGGTGTGGTGGTACATGTTCATGCTCCCACTGCTTGGGAGGCTGATGCAGGATGAGCTTGAGTTCAAGGCCAGCTGAGGCTAATAGAAAGACCCTGTCTCAAAAAAAAAAAAAAAAGTGAAATTATGAGATTAAGAGATTTAGAAGAGAGCCAAAAGAATTTATCAATGAATTAAGTCAGATGAAACAAGTAAATATGGAGCCCTTTATATGTTTAAGAAACTAAGTATCTTAGTACATTTTGTTTACTGCTATAATAGAATAGCTGAGACCAGGTAACTGAAAATGCACAGAAAGTTATTGACTTAGGTCTAGAGGTTGGGAAGGTTTAGGAGCTGGCATCTGTTGAGGGCCTTCTTGCTGCATCACCCATGGCAGAAAGTCAAAGGATTAAGAAGGAAAATGGGGGCGAAGTCACCCTAAAACTTATACCACATTATAGATATGGGAATAATGGATAACAACTTGCCATAAACCACAAAAATAAAAAATAGCAGTACAGACCTTTGAATATATATATTCATGATTCAAAATGCCACCTTCTTTTTCTCAATGTCTCACTAATGTTATGAGCAATGAGAATAGTTATAGAAATAATAGCCAAAATACAGAATGTTTATTATGCGCCAGGCACTGGTTAAAATGCTTAACAAATATATGATTTTATTTAGTACCAAACTTACAAAATAAGTACCACTATTATCCATAGATGAGGAAATACATGCTCATAGAGGGTAAGTAACTTGAACAAAACACATTACATTCACCCCTGGGTCCAAGGTTTCCCAAAACCTCAAGAGGTTGAATTGGGAATGTTTCCTATAAACTTAATGTTATTTGCTTCAAGACATAGGCTACTAAATATTCAGTCCTTATGGCATAAGGCTTTCTTTGGCTATGAAGATGGCCAAAGAAAGACAAGTTTAAAAGGTCTCAAGATAACATGCATAGCCTGTTGTGGTGTCATACACTTATGATATCATCACTCAGAAGCTGATGCAAGGGGACCAGCATCAAAGCCAGCCTAGACTGTATGGAGACCCTGACTCAAAACAAGACAAAATTCATGGATTTTCCTTAATTGGGCAGAAAATAAACACCACTGTTTTAATTTATTAAGTCTTGTAATCAGTTTGGGACTTTGGGCATCTAGAAAATGAATTTTTTCAGAATGGGCTCTCTTGTATTCTCGGTAATGCTAACACAGTGAAAAAAATGGTGACAAAAAAAAAAAGCTGATTGAGGAGTTAATATTCTTTCTGCCTTTTCTGTCCTTAAATTTTGGATCTCTAGATCTAAAATCCTGAAGTCCTAGACCAAAGATTGTTGGCAGAAATCCATGGAGCCCTGGGAGTCTTTTGAACCTGAAGACAAATGGGGACATTAAATGCTTAAGTTCAAATGTGAAGATTCTGTTCAGGAGTTTTGAGTTATGTATTAGTAACTACTCTTCTAAGGGGAGACAAAACTGAAATATCCAGATTATAGCTGTTTAAAATATAGAAACAAATCTATCCTTTGACCTATAAGGAGTCCACTCCGAAAAGGCTCATCTGGCATTAACGCTCCTTAAAAAAGTTCAGGCAGTGGGAAGGACATTGCACACTGCACTTTACAAAATAAACTACTGTAAATACGAAAAGAAGAGGAAAGAACTATTTTCCTGAGGTAACAAAACCACCACCACAGAGCAACAAATTCAGCGAATTCTGCCTTTCTCCTACAACATAATACCCTTAAGTTACTTTCAATCACTGCCCCTTCATGGTAACTTTAGAATGGTACCTGTTAAGAGAAGACACGTCGGTGTCAACTCCTTAGTTCCTAACAGCAGTTTACCTCTTATCCGAAGGTGAGGACTTCCCTCCCTGAATGAGTTTGCAAAATTCTGCTAGCAGCTGTTCATGCAGAAAACTCTAACCTCCCTGTGACAACGCAAATAACTGGTCACTAATGTTCATTTGGATCTTGAAAGCAAATGACGCTAATCCAAACAATTAGTAGGCGCAACTTGAATAACGGGAGATAAATGCAGTGTAACTCTTTCAAATGAA